ACTATGTATGTCGCTGCAGCTGGGAAGGTAAACTTACCACTCTCTTTTAGTGACTTGGTCACCAGTCATATGTATCGATCTGTTGGTCCAGCACTCATTGCATTGCCTAGAAGTCTCTCAACTGATGGTTCTATACCCATTTAAATTTTCTTAACAACTGCAGACAGGCTGCATTAGTTCAGTTTTCTTGACACGAGTCATTCTATTTTTTAGCTCATAGCAGTTTTTTTCTGAACAAAATATTTTCTGTCGTGGAACTAGTTGAAACATACATTTGTATAGAGTATAAGATCATACAGTGCAGTAGATATGATAGAATAACACAATGATATCAATACACAAACGTCATATACAATATTCACTTATCATGCAGCTCCATGCTTAATTTATTGCTTAATCTTGAATGCAAACTGACTTAACTCTTTTCCAGGGATGGGTGACATTACAATTAACCCGTGAACAGGGATTTTCAAGAGGGGTCTTTTCTGCAAGATCTGTTATGGGTTTTCTTTCTGATGTCTATCCTGCTGCTGCTGATGAAATTGGCAAAATACACTTGATTGCAGATGAAAGAGTGAGTGCTACCAAGTAGTACTTTTATGATCCTTGGCTTAAACTAACACTTAACAGTTTTTAAATGTTAATATAGTCGTTGTTCGTTGAAGAAAAAGGAATTAGTATACTTTTCAGAAAGCTTAGTGGCATATCATATGTATTAGATTACTTGGAACAATGTAGCTTATGTTTTTACCATCAGTACTTATGACATGTAATATGTCTATTATCATGTCCGCATGAGTTAAGACCTAATTTTGCTCCCGAAAGGTTGTGGCACGCTTGAACCTTAATTCTAGTCATTAACCTAGTCAACTCAGTTTCATCTACTCACATTTAGCTTCAGAAAGATGAATTTTTTAATGAAATGCTAGTACATGTATTGTATATTTAGCAAGAATATTGAAAATGAGAACAAAACTTGGTCATCCTTGCTAAGGTATGTGATATTGTGGTTTTGGCTTATATTCTTATCATATTAATAAGATAAGTGCAAGCTATCATGGTTCATATGCATGCTTTTGCAAGATTTTCAGTACATGTCTTCTTAATTTTTTTCCGAGGATAATAATTATTGACAATGGATTCCTTGTGTGGCTCTATTTAAAAAATAGTTGTGTTGCATTTCATTGCATCCAAAAATGTTACAGGACCTGCGTGCCTAGGAAGAACTCACATATTTTTTTATGCCATTAGTTGAGGCTCCTAATTAAGGAGGTTTCCCTTGGAGCTACCTCTTCAAATTATACAATTGCATGAGATAATTATGTGGCTTATAGCCACCTGGACTAGTCAGTTTTAGTATTACGAAATGCATAAGTACAACTTTTCTTGCTATGGCTTTTTATTCCACCTACTTACCCTTAAGCACACCCGTGGTCTCTGATACATTCCAAGCTTGGGGAAACCACCCACCTATATGACACTTTACTTTTATCGTGTTTATAAGGCATCCACTGCTAATAAAACAAGAGAAAATGGATCAACAGCTTGCGGACATTGTTTAGTTAATAAGCGTGGAATATCACACATTATCAACCTTGGCTGTGAAGATGAAGTCTTTCATGAAATGCTAATACAGGCATTATTTATTGAGCAATACTATAAATAATGAGCGGAGAACATTATTTGGTGATTTTTATTGTTTGTGCGATGCAACCAGAATTTCTTGTAAGTTAAGGTGCATATGGCATGTACGTTATTCATATTAATGAGGTGAGTGCATGCGATCGTGGTTCACCATATTTCAAATAAACTTGCGGAATATGGATGCTTCTAGAAGATTTTGGTATATGTCTTATTCAGTTCTTCATAACTCTGCGAATCAACCTGCATATGTCTGAGTACTCAAATTGCCCTTTTCATTGTTAGGTCCATGGAGCAGTTTTCGATTTACCTGAGGAGATAGCTAAAAGTTTGTTGAGCATGCAGTTGCCCCCAGGAAATACCATATTTAAAATCACAAAGGTACTTTCTAGCTATGTTGATCTATACGTTATGCATCCCTTGTCGTCTCCGTTTTTAAAGAAGTGTTATATGTCGTAATGCTGTTTATCTAAGTTTTTAGGTTCATTAGAAGCTGGGATAAGGAAGAAATGGTGGAGTTAAGTTGTTTAATTTTTTATCCTCTTAATGTCGGCATAAAGTTTCAGATCCATGCTGTGTTAAGGATCCTAACTGCCTTATAAATTGCATGGAAAACTAGTATTACTAACAATACAGTTAATGATTTCCCCCTCAGACCAGCAGTAAAGCTTTCAGGCATAAACTCACCATTTATAATAATTCCTGCAGTCTAGTAAAATAAAATTTTCTATTAAATAGGAAGGACTGATATTTAGTATCATGGTGGTGCAGATTTAAAAAAAATACATATTCATTGAGGCGTCCTTAGTTGCTGTGTCATTATTCATTTGACCTTTCTGCCTCTGTTTCTTCCTTTATAGGTCCCTTATCCTATTGCAGTCACATACGAACTAGTGTATGTGCTGAATTGACCAAATTCCTATGGTTTTTTCCTTATTCTTGCAGTTGCCTGCCTTGCAAGATGACAGTCCTCCTAGTGACAACTACGGCCGTTTCTCAGGTAGGGATCGGGGCAACCGAGGTAGTTCCAGGGAACGTGGAAACAGAGGTTTAAGAGGGTGGGGGGGCCGTGGCTCTGATAGTGATGATGGGTTTCGGCGAGGTGGGCGGAGTTATAGGACCGATAATACCTGGTCGAAGTCCTCCAAAGTAGGCAGTGATGACTGGCTAATTGGCAACAGAAGGTCTGGGCGCCCATCATCCTTTGGCAGTAGAGACAGGTATAATCCACCATCTATGCATCCATTAATAATCTCTGCCTTTTCTTGCACAAATATATTTCTGTATAAACTAAAGTTAGAGGGAGATGAATAGTGCTTGAGTAGTATGTCCCATTAACTTTTAGTATGTAGGTATAATAAAAGATATAGAGGGTTTTTTACCTTTAAACCCAAACTTTTACCTGTATTTATTTTTAAACTCATGCACAACCCAAAATCACTCTTACACCCAATATACTCCATTGAGTTAATTTTGAACCCACTTTGTGTTCCTTTTGTTTGACATATGGTGTGAGTTGCTAGGTTTTACTATAACTATATTTTTATTTTGAGTGATTATATATTCAGTATATTGTTTAAATTCAATGATTAAACTATCACTTTTTTTTTTTTTGCTTTTTTCACGCTAAGGATGCATCACAAACTGCAAATGGTTTTTTTCATATGAACCCTAAGTCTCATCCCCATTTAATTTTAATACTCACTTCTCTGAAAAGGACTTTTCCCCCTATAAGGCCAAAGTTTAACCCCCTTTTATTTTTAAACTCACTTAAATCGAAAATCACTCTTAGTCCCAAAATACTCCACCAAAATAATTTTAAGCGCACTTTCTATTTCAACAGGATGGTATATATAAGTTGTTATTTTGCTGTAATTTGCTATATTTTTATTCTAAGTGGTTTAGTATTTTGTGTATTTTTGAACAAAATGCTTAACCTTTTATTTTTTGGGATTTTTTACACTAAGGGGGTGTTTGGTTACATTTCTATAAATTATAGGAAATGTTTTCCATTCAAAATTTGGTTTCCTTGTATTTCTTAAAAAAATTATAGGAAAAGTTTTGAGAAGTTAAAAATTATAAATTTTCTTATTTTTTGTATTGTGCTTGTTTGGTTCAAAACAAGAAAATGACTCATAACTTTTGGGAAAATAGCAACATTTCCTATAATTTATAGAAATGTAACCAAACACCACCAACTTTATAGAAAAGTGAGAACTTTATAGAAAAATGTTAATGAGTTTTATTATTTAAATAATGAATGCGTCAGATTTCCAAGAGATTTCCGCCCATTTTAGAAGGAAATCAATTTCTAAAAATTTTGGTACTTTTCTATACTTTACGGAAAATATTTCTGTAAATCTTTTTTGAGCCAAACACAGTTTGTGGAAATCTATAGAAAACTCTTAATTACTTGAGCCAAACACAGTTTGTGGAAATCTATAGAAAACTCTTAATTACAGAAATGCCATTGTTTGTACTTTTTGAGAAAACATTCAGAAATGCCATTGTTTGTACTTTTTGAGAAAACATTTCTCAAAAACAATGCAACCAAACACCCCCTAATGCTGCAACATTTCGAATGATAGATGGATTTTTTGCTGATAAAATAAAGTTGTCCATATTTATGTTTAAAACATCCACTTCCAAGAAGGATTCTTTGTCTATAAACGCAAAGTTCTACCCCTATTTACTTTTACACCCACTGATTTTCAAAATCATTCTTAGACCCAGTATACTCCACAATTTTTTTTTCCTAACTGGTTCAGTATGTAGTGTATGTTTAAACTAAATGTTCAAATCATTGTTGTTTGGCTTTTTTAGCACTAATGCCACATCATCGCGCATCAATTCTACTTGTTTTTCACTATGTCACGAAAACTATTGTAGATGTGTTGGCTGCACTTCCATATTTTTATTGGTAGTAAAGTATTTTTGGTGCTTTCGGATGATCTTTACCGTGACTTGTATGTATAATTTTAGTTTGGTTGGTCTGCCAATATGAAGATGACATCCACCGGCATCAAGTAGAGCTTATTCATATCATAAACTGCATTTCTTTTTTTACTTGTTTATCAGTATGTATTGCCTTTGTATTTAATTTTTGCAATTCTCCTTCATATTGAAGGCTGAGTGTTAGGTTGGACAAATATCTAGAGGGAATCCTTGAACTATGCTAGAATGCTCAATATTTTTGTACTTTTAGCCCGTTAAAGCTTTGCCTTCACAAGTAACTAGATGCTGCTTATTGGTTGTACTTTTAGCCCGTTAAAGCTTTGCCTTCACAAGTAACTAGATGCTGCTTATTGGTTGGTTTCACAGAGGCTTTGGAGGTGCATGCTTCAACTGTGTTCACAAGTAACTAGATGCTGCTTATTGGTTGGTTTCACAGAGGCTTTGGAGGTGCATGCTTCAACTGTGGAAAATCTGGGCACCGGGCTTCTGAATGCCTAAATAACTAAAGCAAGTTCGTTAAACCGTTGCAGTTTGTTTAATGGAGTTTTGATGCTGTGCATACATTTAATATAGTCGTTCCCAGATTGATGATCAGTTATAACAGACTCACTTGGTTACAACATGGCTTGCAAATTTAAGATGTCCATGGCATTGTAAAATTACATAGGCTTAGGATGTTGTGCTTGCAGTTGGATAGGATGGTCTAATCTGAAGTTCTGTAACGATTTTGTTCCTTGATGCTTCTTATGAAATGGTGCTGGCATTGACCTGATGGGGCACGACTGGGGAAATTTTCTCTTCTTCCATAATTTCCGATGTGTTTTGAGTGCTGGTGGTTTTGCTGAGCTCAAAGAAACTACATTTAGATTTGTGATGGGGTCTATCTACACGTAGTTGTACTGGTTTGTGATTTTTGTAATGCTAAGGGATTGATGTAAGATGCTGTTATTTTATTGTTCTATGGGACGAAAGGTTACCGGGTAGGAAAGAGAACCGTGGTATATACTAGTAATCAAGTAGACAAGCTATTCAATACTTTATAACTAGAGCATTAGTGATGATGAATAAATATGAGCCAGGGTGTATAAGTCTCATGTTATTTGATACATTACAAGTCTTTAACGTTTGAAATATTTATTCGCGCATTGATATCATCATGTATCTACTACTTCTTTTTGCTAAAGGTGAACAATGAATTAACTAAAGGAGAACAATGAATGAACAATAATATATCTTTGGGCCAATTAGATTATTTGAAAAAATTCCAACTCATCTCCGTACTCTCCCTCCAAACTTCCCTTTTTATAACCCACGTGCTCCTTGAAAAAACTTTCCATGTTTCAGAACTCACGTTTTCCTTGAAAAAACTTCCCACGTTTTCCTTGAAAAAACAGGATCGGTTGGTCTCTTAGACTCTTACTCCCTCATAAAATAAAACCAAAAACAGTAATTTTACTTTTTAGATTTACTTATTTTGTTGATTACAGGCAAATCCGAGAAGTAATCAACAGCAAAATCAACTCATCCTCCTTCATCTTCAATAGTCTCCTCCGCCTCCTCTGCTCCGCCACCGCCGTCCCCACCTCTGTCGCCGTCGGCAGCGAAGAAAAGTTTTCTTCGCCGGGTCCTTCCCTTTCTCCTCACCGCCAATCTCGCCGTTGGAGGTAAAAAAAGTTGCATTTTTAGGGTTTTAACTCAACTCCTTGGTTCTTATTGTTCTTTTTCTCAATAAAAAATTACAAAATTCCACCTTTGTTACTGCAGCAAAAAGAGTTGATATATAGAAGCAGCGAAGAAAATCGTTTTCTTCATTGTATAACTCATTACAACTTCAATCGTTACAATAAGTTCAAAAAGATCGGTCTTTTTATAAGACCTTTACACAATGAAAATAAAAGATACAATTCTCATTCAAACAAAACGTAGAGGATGTTTATCACCCGCTGCTTTACGTGGGATCTTTGCCTGTGCCGGGGTTTATCCGTGGACGACCGTTGATCAGATCCGGTTGTTGAAAATTCGGCAGAGCTCCGCCTTCGCCGAGGAAGTATTTGATTTGAAGCGCCGAGATTGACCAAGTGAAATCAGTAGCTTTTCTCGAGATCAAGACCAAGCCCGATCTCAAGGAAATAGGGAAAACGGGCGTCGGATCACTCGAACTCTCCTTCTTTATGCCGAAGAACTCGCCAAGATCTGTCAACCCTCGCTGAAATTCGTGCTCCTTTGACTCCTCAATCCGACAACACCTCATCCTCTTGATAATTAATCCCCCTTGTGAAATGAGCCCCTAGGCCTGTATTTATAGGCTTCGGTTGGGGGGTTTTCGGATGAGAATAATAGATTTGGACTTATCTTCAGTTGATAACGGCCTAACCACGTTTGTAGATGAGATTAAGTCAGTTAGGAACCCCTGGAACAGATAAATCCTAGGAAAAACCGTTTAAAAACCGCCAAAACATGTTTCGGGCTCCAGACTGCGCGGCGCGGGTCAGACAGATCCGACCCACGCTTATGTGGGTCGGTCACATCCGACCCGCGCATGCACGGGTCGGAATCAACCGACCCGCGCTTGCGCGGGTTGGTCTGTTCCGTCCCGGGCTAGCGCGGGTCCGTCGCTTCTGCCGAACTTGTATGTTTCCTGACTTTTCCGAGACTTATAGTTTCTCCTGTTTCGCGTAATTTATCGTCTTGTTGACTTGTACGCTTCATTGCGGGACTGGCCGTCGAACGCGTGTTGGTTGACGTGCACGTGTTGATTGATGCGCGCGTGTTGACCGACGCGCGAGCCGACCTTCGCGAGCGATTTGACGGTCCGCGCATGTTCACGCAACGCCGCACAGTGTTGATGATATTTGACATGCGCACGAAACAGGCTGTAGCGTGCGCACGTTGACTGACCGCGCACAGCTGTAATTAACGTGTGCGTTGACCGAAGCGCACGCAGAAGATTTGACCGTATAGCGCGCGCTGACGACGCGAGATGAGATGGATTTGATACTAAACCTAGCGACTCTATTTATTTTAAATTGTCAGGGTACGTCTTGGCAAAGGGATTTGCATGATTTACTTGTTGCAAAAAACACAGGCGAACTAGAGGAGTGCATTGTTATTCTGTTTTATTGATCGAGGATCGAATCCCCGATTTATTGTGGTTTTGGACCAGGCGAAAGATGTTGAGCGATTGGCTCTCAGCATGGGTTTGGTTCATCATTATTTTATTTAAGGTTAGTCACTAGGATTTTTTCAAGTGGTGATAGTCGGAATAATGTTGTAGTGGATAATATTTTTGACACTCGGGCATTATTTTCGGCTGCGAGATGAAACTTTGATTAGATTTTAAAGTGATAATTGGTAGGAGATATTTTATGCGGATATAATATATTTATATGGAATTGTATATATTGTATAATTTTGTGTAATTTATGACTTATATTTTAATATTGATATTTTAAATTGTATAATTGGATAACAAGTTCTTAGTATACTATAAAATTATAATGGGCATAATATACTTTATATTTTCTTAAATAATAAATAATTTATTTAAGATAGCGCTTAAACAGTTAAATTTAACATCGTAGGAGTTGCACTGGTATTTCACTCATTATGCCGCGATAATGCTTGCAATATGTGATTCTA